TGATTTAATAGGAATGTCTGAAAACATACCAAAATAGGTCTCAAGGGATAAAGAAATAGCCTCGACTCTGGCTCGCTGATGCATAGTCAGCTGGATGAGACTAGTTAGGTAAAAAAGAGGCTTACAGTAAAAAAAAAGGTTCTGTTGCATAGCATTGGATAAGAAAAATAAAGCCAAATCGTTATGCTTACTTTTTTCTGATCTGGAATATTTGTAATTCTTTTTATTCTGTAACACTAACGCAAACCGCTCCTAAAAAGTGTAGATAGTAAAAGAAATCAAACGTAAAAAATGTAAGGATAGCGTATCAAGAAATAGGAATGAATAATCCATTTAGATTGAGTTGTATTCTAATAGTTGATTTTAACTAAATATTTCTGTTTTTATAGAAGATTTAATAACCTTTTCTACTTTTTTATTATAAAAAGCCATAACAAATTTATGAAATGCTTACTAAAATCTACTGCGCTTACTAATTACTCCGACAAAAATATAATTTCAGGATGGAACAGTAATTTTGAAGCTGAGTAAGGTTGCTGCAACACTGTGTTAAATTGAATCATGCTTCCGTTCAACTTGAACTTTAGTGATCGTGGAATCAAGTTTAGGAAGTAAAACAATGTGAATTAAATTAGCCTTATACGTATAGAATTGCAGCAAATATGAAAGATACTATGAAACTTCAGTCCAATATGTTTAACAGTGTAGAAGTAGAAAAGTAACCTGATATTATCACATTCTCTCTATTGTTAAAACTATATTCTTAAATTTCATACGACCTTTCAGAATTGATAGTAAGTTAAGCGAGGAAAAAAAACTTTTTACTAAGTTTTGGCTTTCGAACTATGGGAATAGTTTTCTTTTGATTCTTCATTATTTAAACTTTAATAGCTAACAAACAAAAGCTAAAAAACCTAAAGTTCCTTATTTACTAGTGATTTCAAATTATATAAAAAATAATGGCAAATTTTTATAAAAAATCGAAATAAACTAATTGCATAAATATACATAAGGTGCAATTCGATTGTTAAAATATAGTATAAAAACTGACTGATGAATTGTAATATGTAGACTTGATAGCAATGAATTTAATCTAATAGAATTTAATCTTATAATATCTAATGAATTTAATCTAATAAATATTACTCAACCAATATTATAATACAGGAATTTTAAAACTTGTTACACTATATTGTCCAAAGGTCAGAAAGTTGAAACCTTTCATTGCTCAAATTAATCCTTCTTGAACTCGTTTCCACTCTAATGAAAAACATATAGAGACAATGCATTTTGTTTAACGTGTAGCAAATTGGCAACAATTGCCCAAACTGTTTTAGAGCGCCACGTTTCGACAAAAAGCTTAACTACTAGAGATCCATGAGTTAATCGTTTTCTTTTATTATTTTTTATTGAATTTAGAAAGTCCCTTGTAACCTTTTAGTTGCTTGTTTTCTTCCGCTTCTATGAAATACTTAGATGTGAATTCTGTTAGAATGCCATGTTTTGTTTTTGATGTAGACAAAAGTACATTTTGCATTTTTTTTTCATTTAATTCAGAACAAATGACATAGTTTTATAAATCTCAGCCATCATTATTACTTTTAAATTATATATATATATATATATATATATATAAGAAAAAACGTAACTTTAAAGCTAGTCACACTAAGAGAAGTATTTCATTCCTTTATGCAATACATCATCGTTCCAGATACAATCGTGCAAAAATAAATATATAACAGCAATTCTACATAATTACCATAGAGTGTCAACTATTTAATTCTATTGTTTAAATTACATGTTTCTTATTATTCCTGCTGGAGTGTGCTTAGCTCCGTTGGACTAAGGGGAGTTACTGTTTAACATGTATGATACTATTGCTTAGAAATTTAAAAAAATATGGTTGAATTTTACACCTAATTAAGCTCGCTGAGAATCTGCTCAGTGTAATTGTTTATGCACGGAGAAAAGAATTCTGGTAAAATTACTTAACTGCATTGTAATGACGTTTCCGGTAAAAAAAAAACTGTAGTTTTCACAAATGAAATTAAAATAAATGGTATTAAAACCATTTATTTGGTATTTGCTCCGTTCATATGGTGACAGATTACACAGAATTTTGGCTTTCAAAATTATAGTTCTTATTCCCATACATTTAGTAAAAATGCAAAACTGAAAAGTAATAATACACGGTTAGTATAAATGTATAACATGTTCTAAGGTATCATGATGAAATTATTAGATTTTACCGGATCTTATGTAACAATATTTTACTGTTAATTTTACCCAAATCGTATCCAAAGCACTGCGGCAAAAAATTACCAAGTTTTTGGTGTTCCCATAGAGCCAAAAACACTTTTACCGTATTCTATTAGTTTTAACCATACATTTCTTTCTCAATCCGATACCAGTATAGTATCGCTAAGCCTTGAATTAATTTTCCGAGAATAGAATAGCTTTTTCTAAGTGTTTCCTTGAAGAGTTAGTTCCTTCCATTCCATAGAAATATGTAGTATTTTCTAGCTTCAAGCTTCTTGTATATTTAACTTTTTCATTGCAATTTTTATTACTATAACATTTCATTAAAATAAGTATAAATCAGGTATCTTGCAACTACAAATACACATTTTTTTAGCTAAAACATTACAAACAGGATATAATCTCTTGCGTGCAAAACAATTTAGACTCAAAACTCAACGTCATATACTAAACTAAAAGTACATCAATTGAAAGATAAATACGGAAAGCAAATGTAAAACACTTTAGTAAGAAATCATCCATTATATTTTTAAAATGTTCACTTGAATTCTTTTTGTTATCCAAACTACTTGGCGGATGAAATAAAAAAAAAGAAGCTACTAACATTTTATAAAGAATACATGCCTTAAAATGATATTTACACAATTTTTCAATGTACTCGGGGGTGAGAAAACAAAAGAAAGGCACTTGGATTCTGAACACCTCATTAAATCTTCAAACAGGACCTCCAGAAACTCAAAATCGCTAAACAGTAAATGAAAAGAAGTAACAAAACACTCTCACGAAAGGAATGGAAGAAGAAAAAAAAACTATACAATATTTACTCGTTGTCATTTTTTCTCTCTGTCATTTTCTCTATCTTATCATTTTTGTCACGTAAACAAGGACGGCCCTGCTAAAAATGAAAACTTTTTGTTATTTTTTTTAACATAAAAAAAACGGAAGAGCTGCGCCCAAAAACTGAAAGATCGGAATCTAACGCTCTGGATTTTTTTTAAATCTAAAAAAAGGGTATTGTGAGGAAGACAATGAGAAAAAGCGACATTTTTCCGATTTTCTAAGTCTGATAGGTCTTTATGATTTATGTGTTCTGGGTCTTTTATACCTTTCGTTATTAATCATAACGTTTCTGAGCTTGGCGATCGTCTTTAGGACGATGGGTCTTGTCAGACGCCATTTCGAAGGTTTTTGATCTGAAATAATAACGGAGATGAAAAGATGGTACATTTTTTTTCCATAAATATATTTTTTAATATCTTTCCGTTCGTTTTTCAAAGTGAACAGGCGATGCAGCTTTAAATATTTCTTTTGTATGCCGGTAAGAACTCGTGACTGTGAATTATTTATGAACGTGCACTCCAGAAAGCGTAAAAGAAGCTTAATACTTCGTATTTTCCAACTTGGAACGTAAAATGCATAATCTTTCTGAGTGGTAGCTCCAATATTGACATATATTTTTGTTCATACAAATAATAACGACAAAGCATTGGACAAAAAATAAGAAAATTTAAAAGTAGCAGGGAGAAGTTTACACGGATTTAGTACACTGAGCACATTTAGTGCGCTGGAAAAAAAATAATGAAAAGTTACGGTAAAAAAAAAAAAATTACCGGTGTCACTACTTTTCTCTGGACATTAGAATTTATTGCAAAAACTTGAGGTTAAAGAGTAGTTAGTGACTTAGGAGTCACCTTAAAAAATGAACAGGATAAATATGAACCAGCACGCTGACCCTGGTACCACCCTGTTGTACAGTGAAGACAATTTGTAAATACGTAGAAAAAGTCGCCTTATTGTCATGGATTAGTATAAGGTCACCATAGCCATCAATATGCACTCATCTATATCTGCACCATTTTATCTTGTATAATTATAATGCAAGTGTTCCATTTTTCAGTGACATTTACCTCGCAATTTGGTGTATTTCTTACAATGTACTATTATCCAATTTCAGCTCCTTAAAACCAAATAAGTCTTCATTTAGATTTTATTGCCTACCCTTAATGTTTCCAAGTACAATGGTCGATGCCTAATTACAATTTTTCATTTTGCTACTATTGAATGTGAATTGTTTTTGCTAGATGTTGGTTCTTTGACCTCATATTACCTAATTTCCATTCTTTGAAACCAAATAGCTTTCCGATTTTCTTAGATTTTATTGCTTAGCCAAATGAAGAGTCGGTTTCATGCGTAATTTTCAAACTTTATTGCAATTTCATTTTACTATGAGTACTTTTTTGAATGCCGTTTCCCAATTGCTGTTTAAGTGAGATGCACTTGCTAAAGTTTTTGTTTGAGGTTTAATAAAAATATCCAAATTTAAACCATAAATAGCAGAAATTCTCAAATTTAAATAGGATGTAATTTTAAATCTGTAATTTAAAATTACATCTGTTATTTATCTAAATTCAATTAAATCTGTAATTTAAGCTGGTTAAATTACAGAGAAGTAACAAGTAATCGAGAGTATAAAGGCTTAAGTAATACAGAAATATGGTTCAATTTCCCATCTAACATCGTTTTCGCCTTGAATAGTACAATGTTTATACAGTGTAAATGCGATGGCATTTTTGAACATTTAGTGTTTCATCTTTGTAACTTAACAAAAAATATTCGTTAAAAATATGGGCAATATATCAATAAAAAACTAAGCTGCAGCTTGTACCGAAAAATACGTTAATTAGATATATTCAAATTGTTTAACTATTTTAGGGCTTATACATGTGCATTATGTATTTCAGCTTCCTCTGCAAACAGAGCTGGAAACACCTGACATTGAAAGAACGCGCACTTATGTAGCTAGTCCAACAGAGAGCTTCACGCATGGCAGCGCCATAATTGTCAAGCAACGGTCATCACCAAATGACCGGAGTCCTTCTTCCGTCAGCTTAACTATCAGACACACAGATGTTTAGCATAGAAACCATACCTATGGTGCCAAATAAATTATATGTCAAATTGTGTAACAAATCGAACTGGTAAGAAATATTTTCCATTATTATTTCAGAATAATTATCAAATCCTTAATTGCTATTGCAAATTGCAAAAAAAAATCATCGTAGCGATTGAATAATGATCTCGAAACTGTCTATATTCAGAATTTAGATTAAAAATTAATAAAATGGTTGTTCAAATAATGAAAAGAAAAATAGTTAGCAAATCTATTTTATAAACGGCAAACAATGTCAGGAAGAAAAGGGAGCAGGAAGGCAACATTTTCTTTCATAATATTAATTTATCCTCAAATCGTCATCTAAGACGCTAAGACTTTACTGCCTATTTTAAATAAAACATTTAACACTGTTCAAATACACCATTTCTTGTGTTATATTTTTTTCTATATTTTTTGCAATACACTCTGAGAAATTTTCAATAACATTAGGAGTTTTGGACATTAATAATTACGATCAGTTCACTTCTTCAAGAAAAAAGCCAGTAAACCATTATTGTAACAAAAAAAAACTAAACTCAGTGGTGCGACAGCCCATAGAGGGACAAGGCCTACTGTGCCCATCTCAGTTTTCTTGACCATGGGATCTAGGGTACAGGAGCAGATGTTCCGGTTAGATAGTCAGCCGGAAGCGGAACCACCCAGTGTTTAGTTCCCAAGCAAGCTTGGTACTCATTTATCGACCCACTAAAGGAATAAAAGGCTAAGTCAACCTTGCCCGGCCTAAGGTTCGAACCCAGGAGTGGCACGGTAGTGCGAAGGGCTACCACTCAACCACCGGGGGTCATTGTTGTAACGAACTTCAGCTAAATAGTTAGAGTCAATCCTTAATTTATTCAGTTATTATGTAAAACCTTTTCCACAGTCGTAGTATCATCAGACTACGGACACATAAGTCGAGAATTCAAACCCAGACGGAATTAAAGAATATCTCTCTCGCACTTCTCTTACACTGATGACCCCTGATAATGAACCTGCAAATCTCACTCGCACTTCGACAGATGACACTATCTATCTTAGACAGATGGCACTAACTACACTATTTTAACTTGATTCGGTAGTTTACGGTCGGTATTACTAGGAAAAAATTTCGCTGAGAGCAACGGGCATAATAAAATCCATAGGACGTCCATTGAGTTTAATTGTATCTATTGTATTTGTATGATCATGATAACTCTTTATAAATTTATATTTACGGTCAGTGATCGGAAAATTTTTTGCCAGTAACTAACATTAATCTACCAGTGAAAATTTTAGAGTGTCGATTTTAAGCGAATCATACTGAAGTTCTGTAAAGACCACTCTTAATATGTGTTTCTTTTGGAAGTTTAGAATCATAGGAAGTTCATTGAGTATAATTGTATGTATGGTATTTGTATGATCATGATGACTTTATATATATTTATATTTACCGTCGGTAATTGGAAACATTTTTGCCAGTAACTAACCATTATCTAGCAGTGAAAGTGAATCATACTAAAGTTCTGCAAAGACCACTCTTAATATATGTTTCTTTTGGAATCCTTGGCAAAAAATATATTCCCAAAGGGTATGCAAAGTTAATATTCAAGGGAAGAAAAAAAAAGCGAAAATTGCATTGAAACTTTGTTAGATTGCTAATTGAAACTTTAGTCAAGTAATAGTCATGCAGCACCTTTTTATTTCTTTTAGCAATCAAAGAGGTTATAATGTCTGGCACAATTCCCTTTTTCAACAATGAGTTCAAATTACGATAGAGTTCTTGTTTACCCTTGCTCAAATATCAATTGTAATTAGTGTAACAATGATACTAGAAATTTAAAGTAACAGTAATCCTTACCGTACATATTCTATGAACTATTGCTTGCAGAATTAAATGTATTTATTTCTTAAACTTACAATAAATTTGACTAACTCTATGACATAATTAGAGTCATTTTTTTTACTTATGAAACGCTCATTTAAGAAGAATACGCATCAATATGTTAAAATAAAAACATTTATTGTGTAAGTATTTTTTGTTCATTATTTCTATTCTTATTCATTTCCTCTTTTTATTTTATTTTATTATTTTATTTTATAACCAGCATTGGACAGTCGACCCATTTTTAAACTTAAGACTATCTTTTCAATTTGGTCGACTTGTAATTTTGAACCCAATACAGAAGACAAGGGCTCCTGCCTCTCAAGTATTGGAAGAAATATGCTTTCGTGGTGGACTTTTTGATGGGACTAACCTATTTTACGTCAGCAATGTGGTTGGTACAAGCCAACGTTGGGCTTCAAATCCAGTACACCTCATTAAAAGGCAAACCCTCTATCCCCTGAGCTACCATGGCTCTTCTCTATTGAAACCATGTCAGAATTCAAAGGGCGGTAGGGAGATTATTGTCATCTCAGAATCAATCAGAAAATGGATCATAATGAATGGGGAATGGAACTGCCCATTGTCACAATGAAGTTTAAAACCGTTTTTGATTTTAAGTTGTGACGATTTGGAATGTTAATTGTTAATGTTAATTGCCCAGAGAACAAAGGACATCCAGGAAAATGCATTCGGACAACCTAGCTTCCACGGAAACCTCTCGTGGTTAGACAGATTAGTCGGATCTAATCCATGATCCGTCTACCACTGATGATATTTTACGTCATCATTGTGGTTGGTGCGAGTCAGGGGCATAATTCGTATCAACACGCCACTGGTGGGATTTGAACTTTGGTCACATAATTGAGAGGAGAACACTCCAGAAATATAATCAAACATTAAATGGCGTTAATAATGACTAATGAAGATATTTATGTATAATTAATTATTTTTTTATTTCTTTTACTTTTAAATATATTATATTTCATTCACAGATTGCTGTGCTTCATTGAGGAATGAATTACTCATGTATGCATATAAAAGAAAGAAGACAAGAATTATGTGATACTGACAGTGTTGAACTGTAGAGACTATATGAAAATCGGTACAGATTCTCGAATGAGTAGAATATTGTGTTGTGAACAAATAAACCCATTTACGATTTGAAAATAATAAATGGTGCTCATCATTTGACTTTTTAGTACAATAATGAAACTTATGAAGAATTTCTATCATTTTTATAATAAGATCAAAATGTTTTCATGAGGATACAATGTGTTCGTTGAAAATAATTCAGCTACAGTGATTCATTGATTACTCTTTTCTTATCATCAAAAACATTATCATCAGGAATATATCTTCCTAATTCCAACAATTTTCTAATATTTAAGAATGTTATTCAGAAGCAAGCAAAAACATAGTGATATTTTATAATTACTTTGGAAAATTCAATGGTGATTGAAGCACGTAATTTAAATAATTACAAGCAAATTTAATCTTATAATTAAATATTAATCAAACTTGTGTAACTTGACATAAATAAAATTGAATTAAATTATCATATTAAGAAATTCAATAAACAAATACATACATTTACTATAGTATTACCTTTAGTCATTTTAAACAACCTTTAAAATGTTTTCATTTAACTTATATTTCGAAAATTGATATTACCGGAAATGTAATATCAGTACCTTTATGGTCTGAGTTGAATAACTTTTCTTCAAAAAAATATGATTTTTAGACATAATTATGACTTGAAATTATTATTATCCTTATTATTATTATTATGTTGCAAAAAATATGATTTAGTGAATGCATCGTTAAATCTAATGGGAATGACTTGGAAAGTTTGACTGTCATTTAAAATAAATATCAGTTAAAAATTAAATATACTTTTTTTACACAATTTTACTCCATTATGTTCAATGAAGCATTTAAAATTTCATTTAAAGAAATCTCAAAACACTATATGTATAGTCAAATATCATACACTTTTCGAATGTTTTCGTAACACATTACGAATGCTTTATTTTGATGTTTTTATATTCAATTTATAATTTCACTGAGGTTATGTTTGACAGCTAATTATTTTAGCTCTTTTTTCTATTTAAAATAGATACATTATGCAAACATCTATGTGACATGCAATTAAAATAGATTTTTATAAATTACAGTCAAACAAATTTCCTTCATAAGCATTTTCTATTAAATGTGCTCTGTGCTATCTAGTATTTACAGATAAATGTTAATGCTAGTTAAGCTGACAACTAGATAAATATTTCCAAAAATATTAAAAAATGGTCTGGTAAAATATCTTAATATTTAAAAATCAGCAGTTTTTTTTTATCTTTATTTTGCAAAATAAAATAATTAACTAAACAATATTTTCACTGTGTTAAGGCTGCCTATTTTAAAAAATATTTACTAATTATGTAATATTTTTTTTATTTTCAAAAAAATAAAGTTTAATAAATTAAATCTTATTAAGTTACGGTAGTTGCATAAGTTCATTGCCATAATCCTTAGGTAAACTGAGAGTTTATGCGGTCTGGACATATGAATTTGGCTGACATAAATAGCTCTAATTTACCACAGAGGGAAAAGTCTTCGTTTCTAGTAAATTAAACTTTGAGTATTAGATATGCATGATTTTGATTTTTAAATAAGCTTTACCACAAGATTTGTTTCAAATTTTTTGAGTTGATGAGTTGTATCATGATAAATTGTACTAATTTATCATGGCTCTGAAATTTAATAACACTATGTTACCGCTCAACCTCGGAATAAACATGATTTAATTTAACAACATATTTTTTAGATATCGCAGTCAAGCTCATTCTAATTATTTATTTATATTATTTATTTATTTCATTTTATGGTGTTATTTGATTAAACACAGGAATAATTATAGCAGTGTTCCTTAATTACAGTTTTGCAAAAAGGGCGTTATTATTTTTTGTATCGGTTAAAATGATTAAAAGACAAATCAAATTATATTTAGAAATTAAAATTTTTATTAAATTTTTTTCGCCGTTAATACGCGTCAAATGTTGTGTATTAAGGGCGCAATTGCGTATTAACGCGTATTATTATGCTCCTGAAATTTTATGGAACTATGCTATGGTGTAATTTGAGGGTAAGCATGGTTTTATTTAACACTTTTATTTTTTTAGAGAACGTAGTCATTCCCATTACTTATTCACTTTCTTCCTTTTTTTTGTTTAATTAAATTATTGATACACACAAAAATAATTATAACAGTGTCCCTTAATTTTGGTTTTAAAAACAAAAATTTTATCCTTTTGTATAGTTTACATCGATTAAAAGACAATCAATCAAATTATATTTTAAAATTAAAAAATTTCTACTCATATAGCAAAAGTAATTAATAATAACCATATTTCAAGTTAACAAATCATGTAAGTAATTTTTTCTTTAATAGTTTAAATTTGAACTAAAATATTAACAAAAATATGATAGAAATCTATTCTTAGTAATTAATGTTGCAGAAAATCCATTTGTCAATTTTAAACACGATTTAGAATTCATTAGAAAGTGTTGCAAACATTCCAAAAAAGTGATGATCAAAGTGAGAGTTATATCGCATTTGAAACGATTAAAGCGATAAGGGGATCATGCAATGAGTGTGGCTAAACTTTGACTATAACAGAGAGACACTATATTATCTGTTTATGAACAAATGTATAAACATATATATGTAATAAATGACATTTTTCTAATCATGTGCGATAGTTGTTACATTTTACTGTTTGAATCTGAGAAAGAGAGATATTCTGGTTGAAAAAAATGATATACAAGTATAGGACGCACTTAAACACAAATGTCTGAATTTTTATTTTTTTCAAAGATTATTATGTTGTGATGTTGTATGAATGATTTATATGACCCTACAATATTTGAAATTTGTAAAATAAACTTGTTCTTTAAAATGTTGGTGTCTTTATTTAGAATTGACAAATAATATCCTCTAAAATATTTGTGGCATTACTTGGAAAAACATTCTGAAAAATTTTAATTCATATTAAATTATCATGATGGAATTTTCAAATAGAAAAGGAACATATTGCTGTCAAAAATCTTTAGAACTGTAAACTACTTTTTGCATAGTTTTAAACCGTATAATTATAATTTGTAATTAAAAATTGTTACATTGTTTGCACTCTCCTAACTAAACTACTGGGATAGTATTTTTCCACCACCTTTAATTTGATATCGAAAAATCCAAATCCGCCGAACAAACGATAGTTTTATTCAGAGAAAATAGACTTTTGTGTCTAAAATCACAATATATATATATATATATATATATATATATAAATCAAATACAATAAAGTAGGAAACATCAGTTTGATGTATGATGTATACCAATATATACTTTTATTTATATAACGCAATTAATAAAGCTGAAACTGGAAATATTCGGCTCAGTTTATTATCGATTTAGGGTATAAGTAATACACTGCTGGTAATAAAGAAGAAAAGCAATAGAAAATACATAACTTACCCTTTATCGCATGGATGTCAAGATACCAGATTATGGAAGCGGATACCAGAAACATAAAAATGATATTATCGGTGGTTTATTTGGATACAAATATAAATAAACATTTTTTTTTCTAAACTTCTTTGGATAAACAAATATATTTTCCTCATATGTTGTGATTTAGTGTTTGTTACAATGTTAAAAGAGAAACATTCGCTGAATTTTATTATAAACAGATCCGCAAATATTATTGTCTCTTAAATAATGTCGATAAATGAGAAAATAAGAAATAATATTCCTGATTTCTAACACTGTATATTACCTTAACTGCGCAATAAAAATAATAATTTAATAACGTATTTACTGGCTAAAATACTCAGTGTCTTATACGCTGTTTAAACGTAAAATAAGTTTAAAATTGTTGTTCTTTATTTTCCTAAAATTCTAATCCATTTATCCATTTTGTAAGTTAAAATTAAATTTTAGTAATATAGGAAATGGTCTGCAAAATAGTGGTGGCGTGTCAATTTATTCGAGGCACAATTCGTCGTGGGCTTTGGTGACGATTGGACTTGGGCACAATTTGTCACGAGTAAAATTTTATTTAATTTTATAACCATCGTTGAACAGCTGACCCAATTTTTGAGTTTACATCAACCAATGTTCAACTCCGTAGCTTTGCAGGCTTGAACCCAGAAGACAAGGGACCATCTGGATCAAGTATTGGGAGATATTTGCCATCGTGGAGGACTTTTTGATGTAACAACCCTCATTTGAGTTACAGATCCACGAGGTGAAACAAGGAAAACCACGAGAATATCCCACGGTTAGCTTGACGTCAAGGCGACTGATCAAGTGTGATCAACAAATCGAATCACAAATTCTACGCAGAAGAATGGTAACGAATTGTTAAAAATTTTCGTGACTATTCAGTTATTTCTCGTGTTTTTGACTGTTGAAAAAAGTTGAAAGAGTTTTCGTATTTCATTATTATTTGTAACTGTTTAAANTATATATATATATATATATATATATATATATATATATATATATATATATATATATATATATATATATATATATATATATATATATATATATATATATATATATATATATATATATATATATATATATATATATATATATATATATATATATATATATATATATATATATATATATATATATATATATATATATATATATATATATATATATATATATATATATATATATATATATATATATATATATATATATATATATATATATATATATATATATATATATATATATATATATATATATATATATATATATATATATATATATATATATATATATATATATATATATATATATATATATATATATATATATATATATATATATATATATATATATATATATATATATATATATATATATATATATATATATATATATATATATATATATATATATATATATATATTTATATATATATATATATATATAGCAAATATCAATTGCACCGAAATGATATTACTTTCCTGTCTGTCCACCTAATATATATGTTTTTTTCCATTGCCCGCCGGGAGAATGACCCTTCGACATACAGGCATCTGAAAGGCAGATTTGTTGGCCACTTTTTCAGGGGCACCATATTAGGTGGGCCAACTTTGCTCCCACAGTAAGGACAGATAGTACAGAGAGTGAAAGAACATCCATGCCTTGCTCGGGATTCAAACCCACAGCCTTTCTGATGCAAGGGCATTTCCCTGACCCCTACATTGGCCGATCGGCAATATAAGTTAAAATAATTATTATAATATGTATGTTAAAATAATTATTTTGCCTATTTGTTTGAAACTAAAAAGACTTGTTAGAAAAAACACAACTACAAAAAATACGCGTAGGATCTTTCTTAAATGACTAATAACTGATATTATCTAATAATTTAAAACTGAAACATTTATGTAAACAATGATTAGGTTTTAACAGTTTCGATCTATTTAGGTATAATCTACAATAACAATAGAATGTAAAATTTAAAGGCACAATAGTGAAAATCTTACTGCATCAAACGTAAACAAATTACACACTTTATGAGTGATGATCAAACAATTCTATAAACTGTGTATGGCATAAAGAAAAGAAAATTAAAAATTAGGTATGATTCTGGTATACATCGAGATCTTTCTGAAATATTTATAGATCAAAAAGAAAGAAATCTTTGTTACG